AAAGCTATGAATGCTGAATGAAAATTAGAATAAATATGAAAGAGGAGCACCTTCAAACACGCTTTACCACACGAGAAGTAACACATGCTGTAAGCTGGATTGTGTTCTGCTCCCTCCCCGTCCCCAATTCATGTGTTGAAGCCCTAACTCCCAGTGTGGCTAGATTTGGAGACAGGACTGACGAGGAGCCCATTAGATTGGGGCCCGGCTATAATACGGTTAGTGTTCTCATAAGAAGAGACACCAGAGAGTTTGCTTTCTCTTCCTATCATGTGGGGACACAGTGAGAAGTCTGTAGGCCAAGGAGAGAGCTCTCACCAGAGCTGAATCAGCCAGAATCTTAGGCTTTCCAAGATCTAGTTTTATCTAGAACGGTAAGAAAGGAATTTTATGTTATTTAAGCCATTAGTCCATGATGCTTTGTTATGGCAGCTCGAGGAGACTAAGACTTTGAAACCTAGAAGTGGAATGCCATTGTCACAAATATCAGAAAATGTGGAAGAGCTTTGGAACTGGGCCGAGGCTGGAAGAGTTTTAAGGTGATGCTTAGGAAAGCCTGGAGAAGCATGAAGAGACAGGTGCCAGAAATACGGATGACTGGGGAACTCGGCGAGGTCTGATGGAAGTGAGAATCACACTACTGGAATCTAGAGAAAAGACAATCCTAGCCATAAAGCGGCAAAGGATGTGCTTGTGTTCTAGTGTTTTGTGGAAGACAACTTGCAAGAGATGATGAGACTGGATTTATAGCTGAAGAGATTTCTAAGCAAAGTGCTTAAGGAGCAGCACGTGAAAGGAGAGATGATTCGAAGAAAGAATCATTAAACAAAAAGGGACCAAAACTCGAAGATTCGGGTAATCTCAGGCTATCCACACTGCTAAACATGTAGAAGGCTGCTCTGAAGGGACCACTAAGGTCGTGGCTAAACAGCCATCTGATTAAGAGATCATGATATGACTGATGGATTTACTCAGCCAGCTCAGCAGAAGGCAGGGACAGGGGTGAGATTACACCCGCAAAGATATTGCCAGTCTGAACTAAAGAGTACAGAGAAATCTGAAGCAAAAAAAAGTTCCTAGATTTTAGGGACGCTATAGGCCTGGACCACAGAGATACCTGACTGCAAAAACACTATCCTTCAAGAAAAGGCAAGCATGACCCTGAGGGTGACACAGAGACATCAGCTCTGCTATTCCCACCACAGATCCAGTGGGCAAGGTTGTTCCCTGCTTGGCTTCAAAGGATGAGGATACCTCTATAGATCTGGAGGGCCAGGATGAACACGACTACTGCCTTAGAGGCAGGACCACCCTGCCAAGGCATGGGAGTGAGGCTGCTACCTGGCGGACACTCTGGGCCTGGGGCGTAGAGTGTTAAATCAGAGAGGATTCTTTTTCTCCAGAGAGACTGAGAGAGAGAGAGAGAGAGGGAGAGGGAGAGGAGAAGAAAGTATCTCTCAAAGGGGCGTGGTCATGCTGTGATCCTTTCTCCTCTGTTTCTCCATCCTTTCAGGATTTGGGGCATACACACACAATGCCCAGTGTGTTTCTCAAGCCACTGGGTCAGGATTCAAACTGTGGTCAGCCACGTGGGATCTGGCTTCCTTTAACCACTAGGCTATGGGGCTGGTCCCAAAGAGGATTACTTTCAAGGCTTAAGATTAAATGGATTTTGACTTGCTAGGTTTTAGACTTGCTTAGGACCCATCATCCCTTCCTTGCTTCTAATTTTTGCCACTTAGAATGGGAATGTCTCTCCTATACCTGTTCAGTTGTCTTTCAGAATCACATTACTTGACTGGTTCACAGGTTCATAGTTAGAGAGGAATTGTGCCTCAAGATGAATCATACCTCACCTATATCTGATTTAGATGATATTTAGAAGAAACTTTGGACTTTGGGCTTCAGAACTGATGCTGAAATGAATTAAAACTTTTGGGGCTCTTGGGAAATTTGATAAGCAATGACATAAGACCATTGAGAGGGTCAGGGCAGAATGTTACAGACTAAACTGTGTCCAACCACCCCTGATTCCTAGGTTGAAGCCCTAACCCCTAAGTGACTGTACTTGCCTACACAGTAGCAATTAAGGCTAAATGAAGTCATGTAGGTGATGCCCTGATACAACGGGATTGGCGTTTCTAGAAGAGATACCGAGGTACTCCCTTTTCTTCTCTCTCTCTTTCCTCACCATAGAAAAGCACATAGAGAAGGTGGCTGTCCAGAAGCCAAGAAGAAAGCTCTCACGAGAAACCAAGTAAGCAGAAACCTGATCTTGGGCTTCGGGACTCCAGAAATGTGATAACATGCTTTTCTGTTGTTCAAGCCATCTAGCCTATGGTATGTGGTCATGGCGGCCTGAACAAACTAAGGCAACGCACGGAGAAATGGTTTGAATGCTCTGTGGTTACACTAGATTTGGCATTTTAAGAGATACAGGTAGTATCCATTGGCTTTAAAATTGCTAAATTCTAGCACTGGCTTCTTTCTGCAACCTTTTAAAGACTTTCAGTGTATTAGCCTACTCTAAATCTCATTAGTAGGTGAAAGGGTACTTTAAGAAGACAAACAGTAAAAAGACGCATTTTTTGTGGCCAACTACTGGTCTCTTGCTTATCTCTGCACAGTACACTAGGAGTTTATTCCTCTATGGCTGTATAATCAATTGGGTACTTCTGCAAACACCCAGAGAGTCTTCAAAGAGACATTTATATTCAGCATTTAGTGTAAAACATCCTTTCCCAAACCTGTCAAGAACCCCCAGTACATAACCACTTGCCACCTGTTCTTTGGAGATTGTTTCTGCATCATTACAAGCAAAGAAATCAATACCAGACCATTGATTTGGGAAAGAGACAAGATTGCATGGCAATAATACATAAAGTTAGTGAAGCCCTACTTCTCAATTGTTTTGAAAGAACAGATAGTTCAATGCCCCTTTCTGAAATAGGTACTCATTCTGCATTGGTGATCTCGTAGCAATAAAGGCCCAAGATATATATGGCACCATAACCCCTATTGATAGAAAGCTCTCGAGTGCCACACAGAATCTCAAGATGCCTTTTTATACTCAACAGTAATGTAGTCACTTTACTCCAGATCCCCTCTCTGTAGTTTACCCTCAGCCTAATTGTAGAAGTGTGGGCTGAAGAACAGGGTCACTTTGCCAGTGCCACCGAGCATTAAGTGGTGCAGGCGATGCGATTGTGGAGAACAGCTAGCGGAAGTTCTGGTCCAACACATGCTCTGTCCTTTTTTTTTTTTTTTAAATTTTTATTTAATTTTGTTTATTCATTCATTTATTTAAATTTGACCAGAGAGACACAGAGAGGGAGAGAGGGAAAGTGAGAAAGCAAGCCACCAGGTCCAGGACTCAAACCTTGGTCAGCCATATGGGAGTGTCCAGCACTTTAACCACCACACCTCCTGCTGGTCCCCAGCATATGCTCTGTCTTGACAGACAGGTAGGGCCAAACCTGTACTATATCCATTAATTTACGAAGGTACCATCTGGTCTTTCTAAACCAAATTAACATGTAAAAGTCATTTGGATATGTTAATTGGCTTTGAATTGGTAAGGAGAACCAGTAAAAAGGGACTATGAGAATGGAGAACATTACCTTAGTTTACACAGTGCTTTGTGTTTTTTCAAAACCCTTTCACATGCATTATCTCACATGATCCTCCCTTCCATCCCATAAAGTAGAAGGATTATCATTGTAAACATCTGAAAGACGCTAAAATCCAGACTCAAAGATTGTTACTTTCTCTCTTTCTTTTTTTAGGTTTTAGCCATAGGGCACGTGCACTCACCTGAGACAGAGACAGTGAAAGGGCAAGTGAGAAATCCCCCCCCCCACCCCCCGGTTTATGGCCATGCCACAATCCCTTTTCCATTCTCCTCCTGGGATTCTTGGCACTCATGCACACGGCCCCAGTTTGATTTTTCAAGTAAACAGCTCTGGGACTTGAACAGTGGTTGGACATGTGGGAGTGCAGCACCTTAACCACCACAACACCTTCTGGCCCCAAGATCATTACTCTTTTTAAGGAAACTAAAAAAGCTAGTGGCTACTTAAAAAAATGAACACCTACCAGAGACATTTTGATCTCTTTTAACCAAAATGGTAGCCCAATAAGGTGGGTACCATTACTAGCAAAGTCACTAAGTGGCAAGAGCCAGGGTCTAAACCCAAATCTGGTGGACCGGTAGACTTTAAAGTCCATGCTTTATTTATGACATTCGCAAAACCCGCGGGTTAACTTACAGTGATTGTACAAGAACTCTCCATGTCAAGAATTCCGGCTTCATGAAGCAGTGGGTTGCCTTGAGTGAGCAATACAGACACAAAGTGCAAGCTCCAGAGCAGAGATGCCTGCGTTAAATGCTAGCTCTACTGCTTGCTAGCTGTGACCCTAAGCAAGTGAGCCTACTTCTCTGAGTTTCATTTTCCTTATCTGTTACGTGGAGAAAAAGATCTTAACCTCATGGTATTGATGTGAAGATTAAATTACATAACAAATAAAGTCCCTGGTATATCAACACATATTGGTTATCTTCCTCTATAAAAATATTCCTCCAGGAAACAGGAGTTATAAAGTAGTAGTAGACAAGGGTCTCTTATTTGGAGAGGAATAAAAGACAAAAGCGTTGAGTGGAAGGTACATAAAAGAACTCATTTTTCTAGCTTGCAGATTGTTGCAGCTCAAGGACTATCTTGAGAAGACTTCTCTGACCCTGGAGTCTGGGTTAAGGTCCTTCCAAGCTCCCACAGAGTTCTGCCCTCTCTTTTAGTACACGGTATACTGTTGAACTCTGTACATTTGTTATTTTTCCCTGGATAATAAATAAGCCCCCTGTTTATTACAGTATCTAGTGTAAGGTAGATGCTCCATAGCTTTTGCTGAATGGAAGAACAGAACAAAGAAAGAAGAAAAGAAAAGCAGACACAACAGCAACAGCATGTTGGTTAAGATGAAATGAGATAGTATTTTCTTACCTTGACTGCATAGTTATTGAGTGGATCTTTTGCATACGAAGCAGTGTAGTAAACTGCATCCCCGGCCTCGCAACATGGTTTGTCACTGGTTAGCCTGAAGTCTGACCAGCTGTCCACCCCAAAACGGAGCTGGTCTTTCTGCCCGGCCATGAAGAGGTCTTCGCATTTGATGGCCAGTTTCTTCAAGGCATCTGTATGAAGGCTTCGGATTTTACCCACCACTTCCTCCCGATTCTCAAGTCCTCGATAAAGTGCTTGTCTCTGTGGCTTCGGGATACCTCGGCCCTGCCTGCAAGAGGGACCACGCCGGCTGGACAGAGACTCCATGCTGTTGGAAAACCTGTCCTTAATACTGAGAGTGGTTAAGCTGGAGATGCTGTTTGCTGCTGAGGGGACAGGTCTCTCTTTGTGCAAAGGTCTCTCCAAGGAGTCGTAAGACTCAATGTCCAGTCCCTTGAGTTCAGAGCTGATGGAAGAGCCCGCGCTGCTGGCATCCCAGTTGGGGTCGATATCATAGGTGGGATTAGCCAGGACACAAAGACTACTTTCCATGGACTTCTGGAGGTCTTTGGAGATTGGTTCTGTATTGGCTCTTATGATCATTTTCTTTGGCAGTGGGGGTGGTGTGGGGTGGGAGGCATTAGGTGTTTCTTGGTTTGTTTTTCCCCCAAAGGCAATGGCATCATCCAAAGCTCCCTTGGGCTGCCGTGGATGCTTGGGAGGTATCATGGTTGCTCTGGATTGCCCTGTATTGTTTCAAAATAAAGAAAAAGCAAAAAGAATAATTAAGTAAAGTTTTCAACCTTGTTCCATAATTGAAACTTAAACAGGAATGAATGAGGCAGCCGCAGGCACTAGTCAACGCCTTCATTCAAAATGAGACCAAAGAACAACCTAACCATTGAAGGTATGAGTCTACTGGCTTGGTGGGAGTAATAGATATGATTAATGCCTTAGTATTTCTTTGCTAGGGGAACAAGGCATGAAATCAAAGCAGACTTCTTTGAAAAAATGGACAGGGTGAGCCTAAAATTCATATGGAGATACAAGGGACCTAGAGTAGCCAAAAAAAGGTCCTGAAAAAGAACAAAGTTGAACTCAACACTTCCTGATCCCAAACTTATTACTAAACTATAGTAATTAAGACAGTATGGTACTGGCATAAGAACAGAAATATGAGGGGACTTCAAAAAGTCCACAGAAAAATAGAATTACAGTATAAGGTTATCTCTATGTAAAAAAAAAATGCATAGGTTTTTCATGATATAGATTTTCTATGAATTAAGAAAATGTTTCTAAGAACATACCATAGGGTGCATACGCTAGCCAGAAAGAGAGACAGAGACAGCGAGAGGTAAAATGAGAAGTCATCTCCTCATGGGGGGTGGCCATGCCACAATCCCTTCTCCATTCTCTTCCTGGGATCTTTAGCATACACGCACATGTTCCTGGTATGATTTTTAAGCTACTGGGTCTAAGACTTGAACTGTCATTGGCCATGTCCGAGTTCAACGATATAATCACTATGCCATTTGCTGGCCCCATTTTATATTAATTTGTAAAAGATACCTTGTATAGATGAATGGAATATATTTGAAAGTGCAATATATATACATTTATACATATATATGTATATATATATATATATATATGTATATGTATTTATGGATAATTGATTTTTTTAGAGAGATTTTTTGCTATAGAGCATGTGCGCTCACCCGGACAGACAGAGACAGAGTGAGAAAACAACCCTGGGTGGGTGGATGGCCATGTCCCAATCCCTTCTCCTCTTGGGATTCTGGCCATGCACACACACGTGCCTGGCATGAGTTTTACGCCACTGGGTCTGAAACTTGAACTGCGGTCAACTAAGTAGGAGTCCAGTGATATAACCACTATACCATCTGCTGGTCCCTGGTCCATTCATTTTCTACATGGTTGTTAAGACAATTCAAGCAGGGAAAGAACAGTGTTTTAAACCAGTGATGCTGGGACAATTAGATATTCAGACATAAAAGAATAAAGTTGAATCCCTAACTCATACTACACACAGAATTAACTCAAAATATATCAAAGATCTAAATTGAAGAAGTAAAACTATAAAGCATTTAGAAAAACACACGGGGAAAGACTTTGTGATCTTGGATTAGGCAATGGCTTCTTAGATATGACATCTAAAAAACATGACACTTTTTTTTTTTTAGAGAGGTTTTTGCTATAGGGTGTGTGTGCCCGACAGAAAGTCAGAGAGAGACACAGAGACAGAAAGAGAGAAATCAGCCCCCCCGGGGGATGGCTATGCCACAACCCCTTCTCCTCCATCTTCCTCTCAGGATCTTGGGCACACACACACATACGTGCCCCGCATGAGTTTAAGCCAACAGGTCTGGGACTCAAACCCCGGTTGACTACATGACAGTCCAGCGACGTAGCCATTACGCCACCTGTTGGTCCCTCCAAAATGACATTTAAAGTAAAATGACAAAAAAAAAATTGAGAGTCCAGTGTCTTAACCACTGTGTTACCTGCTGGTTTTCTATTAGGCTAGTTAAAATTAAAAATGCAGACAAGTGCTGGGGAAGACATGGACAAATGCAAACATTCATACATTGCTAGTAGTTGTTAAAAATGGAAAACTTTTTTGCTTCAGAAAACATTAAGAACATGATAAGATGACCCATAGAATGGGAGAAAATATATCCATATGATTTATCTGATAATAAACTTGTACCCAGGATATTTAAAGAACTCTTACAAAAAAGGATAAATAACCAATTTAAAAACAGGCAAAAGATTTTGTTATAGTTTGAATATATTCTCCCCAAAATTCATGTGTTGAGCCATTATAACTGGACAAAGAGGGTGAAAACTGGATCTAATTACAGTGATCAAAGGTGGGGTTTTGAGGCAGAGAGTAATGATTAGGACAGGGTTCCCAGGATTGAATTCTGGTAGGTTTCTAAGGAGGGGGCATGGGACAGACATGGGTCACAGACCAAGCTCTCCTGCCCAACCCCATGCTGTGATGCACTTGGAAGAACCCCACCTGGGAGGGCCTCTGGTCCTTAGAAATCCAAACTGTGAGCTGACTAAATACTTATTTTAATAAATCATCCAGTTTCACATATTTTCTATTACTACTAATGGAACAGACTAGAATAGATTTGTATAGATATTGCCCCAAAGAAGATAGACAAATAACCAATAAGCACGCGAAAAGATTTAGCATCATTACCCACTAGTTAAATACCAACCCAAACAACTGAGATACCACTTCACACCCACAAGGCTAGTTATTATTTATTTTTTAGGTTTTGCCATAGTATGTTTGTGTTTGCCAGAGAAAGATAGAGGGAAAGTGAGAAATCACCCTCTAGAGAGGACGGCCACACTGCAATCCCTTCTCTCCACTCTCCTCCTGGGATTTTGGGTATGTACACTAGTGTACCTGGTGTGATTTTCAAGTCAATGGGTCTGGGACTTGAACAGTGGTTGGTCACATGGGAGTCCAGCATCTTAATCACTATGTTATCTGCTGGCCCTCTATTAGGCTAGTTATAAAAAAAAAACAAAAAGAAACAAACAAAAAAAACCATAGACAGTGCTGGTGAAGATAGGGAGAACTGCAACCATTCACACACTGCTAGTACGAAACTAAAATGGTACAGATACTTTGGAATACAGTTTGGTAGTTCTTCAAAATTAGCCAGGACACAAAGACTACTTTCCATGGACTTCTGGAGGTCTTTGGAGATTGGTTCTGTATTGGCTCTTATGATCATTTTCTTTGGCAGTGGGGGTGGTGTGGGGTGGGAGGCATTAGGTGTTTCTTGGTTTGTTTTTCCCCCAAAGGCAATGGCATCATCCAAAGCTCCCTTGGGCTGCCGTGGATGCTTGGGAGGTATCATGGTTGCTCTGGATTGCCCTGTATTGTTTCAAAATAAAGAAAAAGCAAAAAGAATAATTAAGTAAAGTTTTCAACCTTGTTCCATAATTGAAACTTAAACAGGAATGAATGAGGCAGCCGCAGGCACTAGTCAACGCCTTCATTCAAAATGAGACCAAAGAACAACCTAACCATTGAAGGTATGAGTCTACTGGCTTGGTGGGAGTAATAGATATGATTAATGCCTTAGTATTTCTTTGCTAGGGGAACAAGGCATGAAATCAAAGCAGACTTCTTTGAAAAAATGGACAGGGTGAGCCTAAAATTCATATGGAGATACAAGGGACCTAGAGTAGCCAAAAAAAGGTCCTGAAAAAGAACAAAGTTGAACTCAACACTTCCTGATCCCAAACTTATTACTAAACTATAGTAATTAAGACAGTATGGTACTGGCATAAGAACAGAAATATGAGGGGACTTCAAAAAGTCCACAGAAAAATAGAATTACAGTATAAGGTTATCTCTATGTAAAAAAAAAATGCATAGGTTTTTCATGATATAGATTTTCTATGAATTAAGAAAATGTTTCTAAGAACATACCATAGGGTGCATACGCTAGCCAGAAAGAGAGACAGAGACAGCGAGAGGTAAAATGAGAAGTCATCTCCTCATGGGGGGTGGCCATGCCACAATCCCTTCTCCATTCTCTTCCTGGGATCTTTAGCATACACGCACATGTTCCTGGTATGATTTTTAAGCTACTGGGTCTAAGACTTGAACTGTCATTGGCCATGTCCGAGTTCAACGATATAATCACTATGCCATTTGCTGGCCCCATTTTATATTAATTTGTAAAAGATACCTTGTATAGATGAATGGAATATATTTGAAAGTGCAATATATATACATTTATACATATATATGTATATATATATATATATATATGTATATGTATTTATGGCTCATTGATTTTTTTAGAGAGATTTTTTGCTATAGAGCATGTGCGCTCACCCGGACAGACAGAGACAGAGTGAGAAAACAACCCTGGGTGGGTGGATGGCCATGTCCCAATCCCTTCTCCTCTTGGGATTCTGGCCATGCACACACACGTGCCTGGCATGAGTTTTACGCCACTGGGTCTGAAACTTGAACTGCGGTCAACTAAGTAGGAGTCCAGTGATATAACCACTATACCATCTGCTGGTCCCTGGTCCATTCATTTTCTACATGGTTGTTAAGACAATTCAAGCAGGGAAAGAACAGTGTTTTAAACCAGTGATGCTGGGACAATTAGATATTCAGACATAAAAGAATAAAGTTGAATCCCTAACTCATACTACACACAGAATTAACTCAAAATATATCAAAGATCTAAATTGAAGAAGTAAAACTATAAAGCATTTAGAAAAACACACGGGGAAAGACTTTGTGATCTTGGATTAGGCAATGGCTTCTTAGATATGACATCTAAAAAACATGACACTTTTTTTTTTTTAGAGAGGTTTTTGCTATAGGGTGTGTGTGCCCGACAGAAAGTCAGAGAGAGACACAGAGACAGAAAGAGAGAAATCAGCCCCCCCGGGGGATGGCTATGCCACAACCCCTTCTCCTCCATCTTCCTCTCAGGATCTTGGGCACACACACACATACGTGCCCCGCATGAGTTTAAGCCAACAGGTCTGGGACTCAAACCCCGGTTGACTACATGACAGTCCAGCGACGTAGCCATTACGCCACCTGTTGGTCCCTCCAAAATGACATTTAAAGTAAAATGACAAAAAAAAAATTGAGAGTCCAGTGTCTTAACCACTGTGTTACCTGCTGGTTTTCTATTAGGCTAGTTAAAATTAAAAATGCAGA